TCTCTCTCTCTCTCTCTCTCTCTCTCTCTCTCAATCCAGAGTTACGCCAGCGGCCAGCCTGTGACAAATTACTTATGCTCCAGATTAATGGACGGCTACGTCGCTTGAACTGAGGCCGACATGTGAGGTCAGAGGTCACCACGCTCAAGATGTTAAGTTTCCCAGCACTGCATGCCTCTTTGTGCATTTGCATAGTGGAGAGCGTTGCAGGGTGCGGACTCTGTTCCGCCCTGCAGGTATTGTGGTGTGTACTCGCCTAGTTGCTCTCATCTAGTTGTGCTCGCGGGGGTTTATGCCTCTGCTCTTTGGTCCTGCCTCTCATCAGTAAATCAGGATTGTCCAGCCACTTGGGCTGGACGGTAGAGCGACGGTCTCGCTTCATGCAGGTCGTGCGTTCAATCCCCGACCGTCCAAGTGGTTGGGCACAATTCCTTCCCCCCGTCCCATCACAAATCCTTATCCTGACCCCTTCCAAATGCTATATAGTCGTAATGACTTGGCGCTTTCCCCCTGATAGTTCCCTTCCCTTCATCAGTAAATCAACAGGTGTACAGGTTCCTGAGCCTATTGGGCTCTATCATATCTACACTTTAATATCTTTATGGAGTCAGCCTACACCACATCACTTCCTAATGCATTCTATTTATTAACTACTCTGACTCTAAACCAATTGTTTCTAACGTCTCTGTGTCTCATTTGGGTACTCAATTTCCACCTGTTTCCCCTAGTGCGTGTGCCCCTTGTGTTAAATAAACTGTCGTTGTCTTCCCTATCAATTCCATTGAAGATCTTATATGTGGTGATCATGTCCCCCCCTAACTCTTCTGTCTTCTAGCGACATGAGGTTTAATTACTGTAATCTCTCCTCATACCTCATGCCCCTCAGTTCGGGCACTAGTCTGGTGGCAAACCTCTGAAACTTTTCCAATTTAGTCTTATACTTGACGAGATATGGACTCCATGCTGGAGCTGCATACTCCAGAATTGGTCTGACATACGTGATGTACAAGGTTCTGAATGATTCCTTGTACAAGTTTCTAAAGGCCGTTCTTATGTTGGCCAATCTGGCATATGCCACTGATGTTATCCTCTTGATATGGGCTTCGGGGAACAAGTCTGGCGTGATATCAACCTCCAGGTCTTTCTCTCTCTCTGATTCTAGAATAATTTCATCTCCCGAATGGTATCTTGTATCTGGCCTCCTGCTCCCTACACCTATCTTCATTACATTACATTTGCTTGTGTTAAACTCTAACACCTATTTGTTGGACCATTCCTTCAGTTTGTCCAGGTTTTCTTGAAGCCTCAAGCAGTCCTCCTCTGTCTTAATCCTCCTCATAATTTTGCCATCAGCAGCAAATATTGAGAGGAATAAGTCTATTCTCTCTGGTAGATCATTTACATATATCAGAAACAATAATGTGTACTCACCTAGTTGTGCTTGTGGGGGTTGAGCTCTGGCTCTTTGGTCCCGCCTCTCAACCGTCAATCAACTGATGGATTGATGGTGTGTACTCACCTAACTGTACTCACCTATTTGTGCTTGCGGGGGTTGAGCTCTGGTTCTTTGGTCCCGCCTCTCAACCGTCAATCAACAGGTGTATAAGCCATAATTATTAGCTCTGACTGTAAGCTGACTGTGTGTGTGTGTGTGTGTGTGTGTGTGTGTGTGTGTGTGTGTGTGTGTGTGTGTGTGTGTGTTCGTTTGAGTGCGTGTGTGTGAGAGTGAAAACAATTATGAATGGCACAACAAGGAAACGAATGGATAACCTTAGGCCAAATAATCCTAACAAAAATAACTTATTAGAGAGAATTTCGTAAACTTCAATCAGTTATCTTGTTATATTGATATCTTGTTATCTTGTATTCACTATTTATTAAATAGAATTATCACTACCACTTAGCTAACAAAGTGAAAGAAATGTAAATTTCTTTCTTTCGTAAAAAGAAAGAAATTATACCTCAACTTTCTGTTATAAGAAGTATAATTTCCAATTAAAATTATATGAGATTTTGCATATGGCAAACATCTATACTATAAGAGAATGTCAATGTATCTCGTCCGCTCCTAGTTGTAGGTCACACGCTTGGGCCTGGCATTACCCAAATTTGAAGGGGGACTGGTCTGTGGTACGGGGCGGACATAGGATGCTCGGAATAGGCCTAAGATAAATGATTTAACATATATTTGTAATTATTCACCCCCCCCCCCCCCCCATTCCCCACCTGATTCTCAGGGGTTCAGTTCTAGTCAAGTGTGAAATATTCGTTCGGATGTCCGAAGACTTTATCGTTATCAAAAAACATTATTTCTTAAATTCATAAATTAGTTTCGTTCCGCCATAACATTATATTTTATGAAAGATACGAGAGGCTAATCGGAGGAAGAGGTGATGGGAAGGGGAAGAAATATGAGATGGAGAATGAGGGGAAAGAGAAAGAGGGACGGGAGGAAAGTAATGGTAGTTAAAAATAACGTGGTTACGTTGCTTTCTGGTATTCCATGTTCAGAGGAAAAGAGAGAGAGACCCGGGCAACGCCGGATCCACCCCCCTTTCCCCTCCCTCCCTCTTGCCTGAAGATATATAAAAATGTAAACAAACCATGCAGTCCACTGTACAATACATTGTCTGTTAGTGGCGGGGGGAAAAAATAATAATAATTTGTTGCGCGTCATGCATATTCAGTGGAGCCAGTACACACACAGCTGAATAACCTGAAGAAGACACGTGGCATTTATAAGTGACGAATACACCTGAATTCCCTCCGTGTGTTGTATAATCTACAAAAGTGTTTTTTGAGATAAATTTTTACATGTGACTTCCCCTTGGTTGGTGGTGGCGGCAAGCCAGCCCCCCAGTCAGTCTGACCAGTCTGGCCAGGGCAGTCAGTCAGTCAGTCAGTTAGCTGGCCAGTTAGCCAGCTAGGAAGCTAGCCGGCAAGCCAGCTGGGGGCGGCACTTAGTAATGTTCTCCCGCCATTTCTATGCGTATTGCTTGACAAGGCTCCCAAATGTTCGTTGTTGTCATGTGCGAACATCAGCGCCGCGTTCAGCGCCGTGATAAACGTGTAGTTTGGTCATTGTAAACACAACGACCGGAGAATTATCACCCCATCGCCTCGTCTACATAATGGTCGGCGTTCCTTCACCCCCCTTGGATGACGGAACTCCTACAAGATGTCCATTTTAGGGAGAGTACCGGCGCTGCCAGTTGCTGTTCTCTACACCCGCGGAGAACCGCAAACCTCATGATGAAGAGGCACCCAATGTTATCTCCTAAATCACACGCCCCCCTCTCGTGTAACGCCGAGGGTTCCAGCGCCTCTATTGGGGGATTCTGTGCCTCTGTTGGGGGATTCTGCGCCTCTGTTGGGGGATTCTGTGCCTATGTTGGGGGTTCCTGTGCCTCTGTTGGGGGATTCTGTGCCTCTGTTGGGGGATTCTGTGCCTCTATTGGGGGATTCTGAGCCTCTGTTGGGGGTTCCTGTGCCTATGTTGGGGGTTCCTGTGCCTCTGTTGGGGGATTCTGTGCCTCTGTTGGGGGATTCTGTGCCTATGTTGGGGGATTCTGTGCCTCTGTTGGGGGATTCTGTGCCTATGTTGGGGGTTCCTGTGCCTCTGTTGGGGGTTCCTGTGCCTCTGTTGGGGGTTCCTGCGACTTTGTTGGTGGATCTCAAGGCAATTTGTCCGTCCAGTCAACAAGTTCCTTGTTTACTGACGTACTCATCACCCGCGCTGTCGTGTCCCGAATATCTTCCCGCTGTCTTCACCCGTCGCTACACACCCGTCACCCGTCACTACACCTCCGTAGATCCTCACCGTAAGCCACCGTCTATTCTTCGTGACATAAACTTTCACCCCACTGGGCTATGAGAATATATTTTGTGACATATAAGCTGGAAATATTAACTTACACGACGCGCGATAAGTAGTTTCCACCTCAGTCTCAGAGGTAATACATACAGCCCTCCAGCCCACTTGAGCAGAGTACCCGGTGCCGACCCTGAGCGCTCTCTCGGGGGGCCCCCAGAATTTGAGCTCGAAATTATGGGCGAAGGTACTGATGGGGGCCCCCTTGGTGCCTCTCCCAGCCAGCCCTCCCCTCTTCCCCCATAATTTGGGGGTCCCCCTCACACACACACCTGTGTCTCGTTTCGTGGGTAATGATGGCAGACGATATTTGGACGCGAGTGATGAAGATGAGGGCGATAGTTGGGTTGATGGTAATGGTGGTGGTGATGAGGGTGATGGTGAGGATTTGTGGCGATGACTATGATGACTGGGCCGATTACTAATTGGTGTTTGGAGTGGCGGTGTGGCTCACGAGGAGGTGGGGATTGTGGGCGGTATGGGTTCCAAGCAGTCATCCACCTACGAGGTAAATTGTACAGTGTGAGGTTAGTATGAGTCTGCCCTGAAATTTATATTGAGGTAAACTGCCTTTGTCTTCCCCTTGTGTGTTTATTTTGTGTGTGTGTGTGTGTGTGTGTGTGTGTGTGTGTGTGTGTGTGT